TACTGCTTGTGTATTTTTGAAAATGTCACAGTTCTCCCCAACCTCCATTAACATTATTAAAACAAGTTCATACTATTGAAAACCACATAAATCAACCTTATTTTATTGCAAAATAAAAACATAAAATTGGTAGATTGCACCCTCACCCCCTCATTACCAATGAAAGAAGGACTTTTACATCATTTTGAGAGTTCTTCTTTGGCCATTGTAACTATTAGGTCTCAACTAATAATGCTTAGAGACATTTTATTTTTGTGTTACTATAGATTTGGATGCATTCATTTGTAATTTCGTCATCTAGTCATGAACAAAAATTTGAAAAGTGACTCAAAAACATGAAAGTAATTCAAAATGGGTGCCTGGGTGGCTCAGTGGGTTAGAGCCTCTGCCTTCGGGTCAGGTCATGGTCTCAGGGTCCTGGGATCGAGCCCCGCATCGGGCTCTCTGCTCAGCAGGGAGCCTGCTTCCCCTCTCTGCCTGCCTCTGCCTACTTGTGATCTCTGTCAAATAAAAAAATAAAATCTAAAAAAAAAAGAAGAAAATAATTCAAAATGGCTAAAAGATAGGCTGTGGATTATGTATAATTCCCTGCATGTCAGCTCTAATTTTAACCCTTTCTTTCTCAGGAACTTGTACTGGAATGCATATGAGTGATTTTTTTTTTTTTTTAAAGGTTTTATTTATATGTGTGTGAGAGAGTGAGCGAGCGAGAGAGCACAAGCAGGGGGAGCAGCAAGTAGAGAGAGAGGGAGGACGAGACTCCCCATGGAGCACGGAGCCTGATCCGGGGCTCGACCCACGACCCTTGGATCATGACCTGAGCTGACGGCAGACCGACTGAACCACCCAGGTTCCCTGAGAGAGTGATTTTCAAATCACTCATAAACGTGTGTGTTTGTGTGTATGTGTGTATACATAATTCAAAACTTGGGTGACTTATTAAATTATTTGTGATCACTTCATATCAAAACACACGAATGTGTTATGTCACTGAGGTTGCAAAACACAAAAAACAAAAACAATCCCTCAGGATCATTCAAGTCTTAGTTCTTGAGCCCCCTTGTACTAAATTCATTTATACCAACTGTTCACAAGACAATCTTTGAAGGAAAACTACGTGGAAGAAATAATTTTATAGACTTAACATTTAGCTTTTATTATGCTATGAATTGTAACGAACATGTGGAAATACTGGCTAAGACAGCCGTGGATGAAACAAAGCCAAGTGAGATCCAACAATTATGGCTGATGTTAAATTGGATGAGTCTTCTCTGTGTTGAAACAGGAGACAAATGCTTTATAAGACTGTATGAAGGCTTAGGTGTGAAAAAAAAGAAGCAATTATTTTTGCTTTATTTGGCATTGGGCAGGCTTTGGCTGGAACAAACTGTATTTAATTTTCATGTCATGCCGTATAAAGAGAAAAAACTTGGAGAGTGTTCAGAGGAGAGCAGCAACTGATTAAAGGTTTGTAAAATTAGACCTATGAGAAATTGTGAGAAGTGGGCATGTTCAGTCAAATGCAAGACATTCAGGCAGGATGAACAATTACCTACAAGTATGTAAAGAGATGGTTCCCAAGCCTGAGGTTTAGGTTAAACAGAAAGTTAAATCATAGGATTAAGAACACAAAACAAAAACCAGAACAAGGGAAGTTAGAAACTAAATATTGTAAGAACAAACTAAAAAACTTTTAAGAAACTGATGAATGGAGCAATCTATAGTTTGAACTTCTGCAAAAATGATTATGAAAACAATTCAATGTTGTACTTAGTTAAATAGAAATAATTTAGAGGGCGCCTGGGTGGCTTGGTTGGTTGGGTGTTTGCCTTTATTTAGGCTCAGGTCATGATCCTCCTGGCCTGGGATCAAGCCCCCAATCGGGCTCCTTGCTCAGCAGGGAGCCTGTCTCCCCCGCTCCCTGTGCCACTCCCCCTGCTTGTGTTCTCTCTCTCACTCACTCTCTCAAATAAATAAATAAAATCTTTTAAAAATAATAAAATAAAAAAGTAAATAATTTAGAAAATAGAGAAAGCATCCAATGGATAGCATTAAAAAGTAAAAATCTCTGAGTGACATAAGTCAGACAGAGAAGGACAAATCTCAAGATTTCACTTACATGTGGAACCTAAAAAAAATAAAACAAATGAACAAAACAAAACAGAAACAGATCATAGATACAGGAAACATACTGTTAGTTACCAGAGCTGGGAGAGACTGGAGGGGTGCCAAGCAAAATAGGTGAAGGAAATTAAGAGATACAAACTTCCAGTTGTAAAATAAGTCAGTCAGGATGGTGTAATGTATAGCACAGGAAATATAGTCAAAAGTATTGCAGTAACTGTGTATGGCGACAGATGGTAACGAGATTTATCATAGGGATCATTTCACAATGTACAAAAATACTGAATCACTACGATATACATGTAAAACTAACAGGGTATTGTTGTATGTCAATTCTACGTCAATTAAAAGAAAGTAAAAATCATCAGCTCAAGTATGAGGAATATTTTTAAGGAAAAAATGTATCTGGCGGTCTTCTTTAGGATCCAGGATAACAAGAACGGAAAGGAGCTCTGAGAGTAAGTCTTTGTGCGCCTAAGGGTAGTTCCTCTGCGTGGTGGGGAGGCAGCGTGGTGAGCAGTTTCTCTGGCCTCCTGGGGAAGGGGAGGTTTACCAGGAATCCTCCCCATGACACAGTGATTCTCTCCAGAGTGGTCGTGAGCTATTAAATTATTGTTTGTCCAGGGGAAATAGTTCTCTCTCTGAAGTATCTTCTGCTTTTTGGCAATCTTATTGGGCACGGCATGTAGACAAATATTTACTCTCCAGTTCATACTCTTTACCCCTTAAATGCAGGGGAGAAAGATGAAACCACAAAGTGTACACCATCTTTTACTTTAAAGCGGTTCTATTAGCCTGATGATAATGTTTTTCAACTTAGAAATATAATCTAACGATAGTCTCACTTAAGTGTTCTAGTTCCCTCTCTGTGTTTGCCACTTGAACCCTCTGGTTACTACGATTCCAACACCAATCACAATGTGTGTATGTTTTCCCCACACTAAGTAATTCTCAGACCCCAGCTGGGTGTCCTGCAGTTAGTTCAACTTCATTCTGACTCTACCTACCTGGGATAGCTTCCCATCCCAGTTAAAGATTCTGACTGGCAAGACTGCCCCCCATTCAGAGTCAATCGTAAGTCCAGGTTGTTTCGTGGGCTTCTGACCGATGAGCTCTCACCTAGAAGTTCCCACAGCCCCGTCACTGGATTCGATTAATTTGCTAGAGTGGCTCACATGAGGAGAAACATTACTTACTGGATCACCGGTTTATTTTAAATGGCTAGGACACCTCCAAGGAGCTCTGATTCTTTCCTTCCCTTATGCCAGTTCCACAGGACCTCCCTACAAGACACCTGACAAGTTAGTGATCAATTCAGTTAATGCAGAATTCTGCTGATTATATCACAAAAGGACCCAGATCCAAGTTGTAAAATCAGGCAACATCCGCAGATGTGCACTATCTTTGAGGATACCACCCCTCCCCCCACCAGCTCTGGTGATAGAACAATACGTTGCAGGGTTTCACAGGGCCAAGTCCTGTCAGGACATTGTGAGGAGGCTGTTAACAAGATCAAACAAAGTCCCAGACAGCACCCGTGTCTGTTGGGCCTAAACAGATCAGTGATAAAGCAAGTACGGTATCTGTAACATATTTAACTACTGGTGAGATCCAGGTTAAGAGTGTTTACAGAGTGGTTCACTGTACTAATCCCTTCATTTTTAAAAAATAAAAAGTGGTGGGGCACCTGGGTGGCTCAGTGGGTTAAGCCTCTGCCTTCGGCTCAGGTCATGATCTCAGGGTCTGGGATCGAGCCCCGCATCAGGCTCTCCGTTCAGCGGGGAGCCTGCTTCCCCCTCTCTCTCTGCCTGCCTCTCTGCCTACTTATGATCTCTCTGTCAAATAAAATCTTTAAAAACAAACAACAAAAAAAACCAACTCTGGATCTGCTAAAATATTTCAACAAGCAGCTGGTGAAACCATTCCTTAACATGCAATATGAAAGCGAATTTTTTCAGTAATATACATAAATACATAATATACAATAATATCCATCAGACTAAATTAAAAAGTCTAATGTAACAAGTTTTATTTTAAATATCAGTATTTATAATAAGTTAGAAATTATATCCTCAGTAAATATTTAAACTCATGGTAAAAATTGGGGGATGTCAACTTAAAATTGTATAAAAAGGTGTACAGTTTTTCCATATTCTCTTGGAGGGAGTCACGATTTTTTGAGGGTCATTGTTTTAACCTATAAATATTGAATCCCGACCGTTTCTGCCTCCGCAGGGCACACAGAGTGAGTGCTCCATTCTGGGCATCAGAGGGGATGAACGACTAATGGCGGGGGCGAGGGGAGGTAGGCAGATTCAGAACTGAGCTGGGGATCTGTGATGCCCCTGTGTGATGTGGCCACATGAGTACCCTCTCCTGGTGGCTGCGCCTGGTGCTCCTGTCCTTTGTTATAACTCACCACTAGTTAACAGAGGATGAGGCAGCCAATGAAGCCTAGGGACCTTCAACATCCAACTGAATCATTCCCGAGTGACCAGAGCAGTTCAGTTCTGCATCAAGACTGACAGTCAGAGCCTCCTGGGGACATGGTGGCTTTCCTTCTCTTTGTCCCCCTTTCCCTTCCCCATTGCCTTTCAGCCTCTTAGAGTGAGCACAGGCATTGCCGTGTTCTCCCAGTTTCACCCACATTTAAAGTGAATGTTGACTACCAAGTAAGGGAGTTGTTAAACCCATCTGCCAGAGACAGAGAATGTGGTGGAAAGACATTTTTCCACCCCTGGGAAGGTGTATGCACATGTTCTCAGGTAGATGTCATGGGACCAGGGACTTGGTTTACAGCAAAGATGCTAAGCTTCTCTGTCATTCCACGCTCTCATTCTGAGGAACGATCTCAAGCAGTAACGCAGCACGACTCATTGCTGTGCAGAGCGCCTAATTTTATTTTTTGGAGGAGCTTCTCCCACCCTGTTGATTTTATTTTGATCACCTCCCATTTGTGTTCTGTGTTCCACATTAGGATCCGAGTAGGTCTCTCTGCAGCTGGCCATTTCCCCGCAGCCAGGATCCTAAATGCAGACTGTCTGAGGTCTCAGAAGCTCGCTCGGTAGGGGCTGTTTGCATGGTCTTGGAGTGGTGTTGCTCCATAGCGTCTGCTGGGTCTGGCCTGGCTGCTTTTGGCTCTCAGCCTACGGCAACGGCTGAAACTTGTTGGCCCTTCTCGCCCTCTTCTTTCTTCTGGAAGTGGTCATAACTTTAGGAGAGTATTTTTTTCTTGAACTCATGTGAAATGATCTTTTTACCTTCTTGTAGATCTTTAGCACCTGGTAAGGCAACAAGGTGAGCCCAGAGGGCACTGAGGTGGAGGAGGGAATGGAGGCTGGGTGGAAAGTGGGGGGCTAAGGAGGAGAGGGAGATTATCTGGGGAGGGGATGGAGCGGGGAGAGAAGATAAAAGAGGGAGAAGAGAAGCTTGGGCAGAATCATCTGACCTTGCTAGCGCCTCTTGATCTGGATCGAGACTGGTTCTTCCTCTTCCTCCACCGCTTGGTGTTTGTGGTTTGTGACTCCCATGATTTCTCTACCACTTTCGCCATGTTGCAGCTTCTCTGGTGTCTACTCCAGGAGTCCCGTCCTCTGTATATATACCTCTCCGGGGACAATGAGGGTTCACGCCCTCTCAGCTTTGTTTGGTCAGCAGGGCACTCACCACAGCCAATGGTGGCCCCAGGGAGCTTAGACATCACAAAGGTCCACTCCCAAGGGGTGGGGAGGCAGGGACTAAGATCCTATAGCTGGAAAAGGCAAGGGCTAAGAAGCCGCCTTACTCCAACCTGCCACTCCTCTTTGTCTCTCCCAGGTCAATTCTGGTTGTACACATGACAGAGAGGGGTGCTTTCCCCAAGTCATTCCCCATGGTTCATTCGACTGGCTCCCACTCTTTACTGTTACCTAGTAGTTTTGAAATCATCTCACCTAAAATCAGCCAGAATGAGGTATGGCAGCCTGCTATGAAGAACCTAGGTGTTCTTCAAAGAATTAGGGCACAGTGTTGGAGGCACGATGTCCTTCACTGCCTGGTCAGACAAGAAGGCTGTGAAATATAAGTCAGGGCCAGGGAGTGTGTGTGCATGTGTATGCACTAGATGACTCATTCATAGGAAAAAAGATTAAAGTTATGAAATAAGATTAAATTTAGGAATACATTTATATTTACATATATATGATTATCTTTTGGAGATCAGGTGGAAATCTTTGGAAGAACATCTTCAAAGGGGCAAGAAGTTTAACTTCAAGTTGTGGGGATGGCGGAGAATCAGAGAACAGAAGTAGGAGCTCACTTCCGAACCAGGGCTCACTTTTCTCCCCATCTGTACCTGGCCTCTCTGCAAACAGTAGGAATGACATCTACAGAGACGGAGAGTAGATGAGTAGTTAACTAGGGCTGGCAGAAGAGTAGGGGAAATAAGGAGTTACTGCTGATGGGTGTATGGTTTCTATCTGGGGTGATGAAAAAGTTCTGAAATTAGATTGTGGTAGCAGTCATACAACTTTGTGAATATGCTAAATACCACTGAATCATAAAAAAAAAATACTGGGGTGTGATTTAGTTATATTAAAATATGATTGTGGGGCGCCTGGGTGGCTCAGTTGTTAAACGTCTGCCTTTGGCTTAGGTCATGATCTCAGGGTCCTGGGATTGAGCCCCATATTGGACTCATTGCTCAGCAGGAGGCCTGCTTCTCCCTCTCCCACTCCCCCGCTGTGTTCCCTCTCTCGCTGTCTCTTTCTCTGTCAAATAAATAAATAAAATCTTTTAAAAAATAAAATAAAATAAAAATGATTGTAACTACACAGAGAGCAGAAACCAGGTGAGGGCTAAAGCTCTAGACCTCAAATGGATACCTGACACTATGAAATTTGTTTGTTTTTAAGCTTTTATTTATTTCACAGAGAGAGCATGCACAAGCAGGGGAAGCAAGAAAGGGAGAGGGAGAAGCAGGCTCTCTGCTGAGCAGGGAGCCCAATGCAGGGCTCCATCCCAGGACCCTGGGATCATGACCTGAGCCAAAGGCAGACACTTAACCACCTGAGCCACCCAGGCGGCCCAGAGTCTATGAAATCTGGAAGACACAGGAAGGGATCAAATGAACTAGGCCTTTACTTTTTCCATGGCGAGAGGTGGCATTTCAGGAAGAAAAAAAACAAAAACAAAAACAAAACAAAAAACAGTCTTTTGTGAAAATCTGGGAGGAGAAGAGGTAAAAGAATAAGACTGTGGAAGGAAGGGAGGGAGGGAGGGGAGGGAGGAATAAGGCAAGAAGAATCAAGTGAGAAAATGAGGAAATGCCCACAGGATCACTGTCTTATAGCTTAAGTCCGGAGACCTCTGTCATCTGTTTGCATGCTTATCTGTAAGGAACTGAAGTAGATAGACCAGGGCTGATCCTTTTCCCAGACTGATGCCTTTTCTGCCCCAGCCCCCAATTTGGTAAGAGTGAGCTCTACTGACACCTTCACTGAAGACTACTGGGCAGTAAGAAGTGCCTGTCTGCCCACAGTTGATGACCCAGTTGTAAGGCAGACAAACAGTGCAGCTAGGGATAGGCGCTGTGAAGGAGAAAAGGAACAGAGCCTGCTATGTGAACTACAGACTCAGGTTAAAGATAACAGAATCCTGGGGCACCTGGGTGGCTCAGTAGTTAGGTATCTGCCTTCGGCTTGGGTCTCGATCCTCGTGTCCTGGGTCTGAAACCCATATGGAGCTTCATATCGGGCTCCCTGCTTAGTGGGGAGCCTGCTTCTCCCTCTCCAGCTCCCCTGGACTTGTGTTCCTTCTCTTGCTATCTCTCTCTGCCATAAATAGATAAAACTTTTAAAAAATATATTAAAAAAAATAGATAACAGAATCTCATTCCTCACAGGCAAGAATAAACAGTTTTGCACCTCTCTTGTCACTACTACTGTGAGGTAAATTAAAAGTAAAACAAAGCATGTAAGATCGAATAGACCGTATAATTGCAATGTACTAAAAAGACATAATGAGATTAGGATCCAATAAAAATATACCAAAATAGTGGTATTTTCATGGTTATTTCTACTGAGTCACAATTCCCTTGTTAGATCTTAATTCCCTAGAAAGCCGGGTGATTACTACTAAAATAGGTAGTCAGTAAATAATGTGGTGACTTGCAGGAATGAATAAGTGTATAAAAAAATGGATCAGTGGGTTTGTGTTCGTGTGGTACAATTATAGATGTTTACTTTCCTGTTTTCCAAATGTGATATGCTTGTACAAATGATTATACATGTTGTGTTACTGTTTCTGGTACGAGCTGGCTCACTGATAGTGTATATTTAGCCCTTCTCCTCTGAGAAGGCCCCAATACAATGATAATAAAGGCATTTCTTATTTTTTTTTTAAGATTTTATTTATTTATTTGTCAGAGAGAGAGAGAGAGAGAGAGAGATCACAAGCAGGCAGAGAGGCAGGCAGAGGCAGAGGGGGAAGCAGGCTCCCCGCTGAGCAAGGAGCCCGATGTGGGACTCGATCCCAGGACGCTGGCATCATGACGCGAGCCGAAGGCAGCCGCTTAACCAACTGAGCCACCCAGGCGTCCCGCATTTCTTATTTTTTAAAAAAGATTTTATTTATTTAAGAGAGACAGCATGCACACACAGCAGGGTGTGGCAGAGCAGAGGAAAAAGGATGAGCAGATTCTCTACTGGGCACAGAGCCCAACCCCTATCTCCATCCCACAACCTTGAGATCATGACCTGAGCTGAAACCAAGAGTCAGACACCTCAATGAATGTGCCACCCACGGGCCCCTAAAGGAATTTTTTAAAAAAGGTGTAAAACTCCATGAAGAGTATGGCACAGAACTTACATTTCTGGAAGAGAGGAACAGCTCCTGAAGAAAGAGGGCAAGAGACAGTATAGTACAGAATATGCTGAGGGAGAAACAGCCAAAAGGACAGCCGCTCTGCTCTGCAGAGGCCCGGAGTGTCTCAGGATTGGGAAGCATCAGGTCCTATCAAGGTCAAGGCAATGAGAAGATGGGTATCCTAGAACTCAAAGTAGATAACTTTCTACCAGTTCCGTAAGTGACTTAAGAATGGAGAGGGGGAAGAAAAGGGGGCAGTGGTCTGCTTTTCAATTATTTTGGCTATTCTTCTTCTTCTTCTAGCAGAGCCCTGCCCACCTGGAACTGAGGTTGCGTTAAGATCCCGGAGAATACTGCGGCATCATGCAGGTGCAGACTGAGTGGCCTCACTGAAAAGGCGATCTTGAGACAAAACCTGCCTTCACATGGGGCACTTTGTCCTCTGCATCTTCTAAGTTTAACTCCTGCCCTGCTTCATTTTCTCTTGCAAAAGATTAAAAGTAGCCCAGGTAGCCATTCCAAAATAAAATCTTAGAATTCCAACAAAAGGGATTAGCTTTATTTATGGAGGTTCCAGAAAGTTAAACTATATACAACGGGTAGGAATTGGGGGGGATACTTGGCTCAGTGAAAGAAATAACTGTCTAAATACGAGGGCAGGACAAAAATGGGACAGATTACCTTGTGATGTAGCAAATCCCGATTCACTGAGAACCTATGAGCAGGCTAATCAGGGTTATAAAACAACCGTCAGCCTCATAGCCCCAGTCAATGTTATTTTTAGTATATGATAGGAGAAGACAGACTTTGTCCTTTTATTTTTTTTTTTAAAGATTTATTTATTTTAGAAAAAGAGAAGTGCGTGGTGGGAAGGGGTAGGGGGAGAGGGAGAGAGAGAATCTCAAGTGACTCCCTGCTGAGCACGGAGCACGAAGCCCAAGGCCGGGCTTGATCCCATGACCCTGAGATCATGATCTGGGCTGAAACTGAGAGGCCACCACTTAACTGACTGCACCACCAGGGCACCCCTTATTTTTACTTTATTACTTAAGTAGTCTCCACGCCCAACATGGGGCTTAAACTCATAAGATCTTGAGATCAAGAGTTGCACGCTCCACCAACTGAGTGAACCAGGAGCCCCATGAGACTTTGTCTTAATGTTCTTAGTTATCCACCATGCAGTTGCTCCTTAGTATTCCAGACACTTCTTCGCCAGTCCCTAGGCTCAATTCTGCTGGTCACTGCACAGAATGACTGGTAGAGTCTCTATGAAAAGAACTATTTACTTGCAACATTGCCGGAGGAGGTGTGAGAGGGGTAAGCCTTCTGTAAGAATAACCATTAGTTTAGTATCATGGTTAGCAAGAGCTTAGCAATATTAAAAAAAAAAAAAAAAGACTTTTCCCTTGCTTTTGCCTCCGTATGTGTGGTAAAATCTCTTCAAAAGAAATACTCATTGGACATAAACCAAGTCAGTTATGTAGAGTCATCTACATTCTTGATCTTCCTTGTGATTTCCTTTAAGAAAGGAACTCCCTTAGTTATACAAAGACTCAGGAGACACTCCGAAATTACTTTTTTCAGGGCTTGATTAAATTCTCAGCCAAAGGTTAATTTCTTTCCAGGCTTGGTCTGGGGGTTGAAGGGCTGTGGGAGTTCTAGGGGTACAAAGATATATACCAGATACAGTCACTTTGCTAAGTTGCTGAAGAGGTGAAGCTGGCAGGAAGTTAAACCCATTGACCTTGGCTCTAACATTCAGTTATTTACTCATTTCTTTGGTCCACCTGTCTCTACCTTCACAGCATCACGAACCTGAGTTTCTGAGAAGAAGGGTTTCCCTTCTTCTACCAAACAATTCCTTACACAGTTGTAAATGATTTTTATAAAATGTAAATTAGATCCCAGGGCTTGGCATGGTCTGGT